GGCAGTTAGCTTTAACAAAAACATGCTCTTGTGCTTTGGTCACTTAAAAAAAAATTTTAAAAAATAATCATCTGTTTCCTTCAGCGATGTGCCTGAGAAATGAGACTTCAGAAAATGGCGATCTCTCTGTCTCAGCCACTGTAGCTCCAGCTCACCTCGGGCGAGTCATTTTGAAGGGTCTCGTTGTTTGGTTTTACCAACCTCAGGCGAGTAATTGTCAAAGGGTTTTTTGTTTGGTTTGTTTTCGAGGACAGTGGTGCTTACTGTGATGAAACATGGTTTCTTCTCTGCGGTTAAGTGCTGAGTAGATCATAGCACATTTGGAGCACAGGGTAAAGGGAGTGTGGTATTTAAATACGTGCGATGTCTGTATAATAATGTCTAAATACATATGCGTCCAGTCACTGCCTTGCTACCTGTAGCATGGTAGAATTTTAATAGCCCTTACTTAGCAGTTGGGCTGTTGGTGGCTTTGAAGTGTTTCCTTTGTGGCTGTAAGCTGATGTTGGGTTATTGCTTAAATTTTCTGAAGTGTAGAAAAGCGGTCCCCCATGCTGCGGCCGCCCTCCCCCCCGCCTCTCTGTCTCTCTGTGACCTGTTGCTCTGAGGGTATAATTGTACTAAAGAGATGATTGATACTGAATTGTTTGAATTACAAGGTGTCAGGCGAGCAGGGAATTTCATTCATGTGTTGAGAGTGGTAAATCCTGCTGGAAGGTCATTAGGTGCCTGCCAGCCGGCCGCTCAGAAACAGGCTTTCTTGGTGGGGGAGAAAGGGTTGTTCGGATTTCGAATGCCGTACGCACGGTACGTTTGCGTTGGCTCTTCTTCGCATGCCCTGATTTCTCTGTACCTGTACAAACCCAGCTGCTGCCACAGCCTGAGCCAAGTGTTTGCCTGCTGTCTGGATGCTTCTGGCAAAGCTGCTCCTCTGAGTGACAGAGAAACCACTGGAAGGCTGTGGCTTATTTCAGCTTGGCACCCAGAAAGCCGCGTATACCTGATCATGGTGAGTTTCCAAAATCCGTCAGAACGAGCAGGGATGATACTGGTGTCATTCAGACCAGGTCTTGGGCAGCCTTGTGTTCCCACGTGTGTGTTTAGTGTCCCTATCTGTAATTGGAATCTGGGAGCACAAGGAAGTCCAATTTTTAAGGGAGAAGAGCTGCAGTGGTTTCCATTAAAATCTCTTTTTTTTCCTG